CAGGCTGGTCTTGAACTCGTGGGTTCTCACCTTGGCATCCCAACGTGCTGAGATTATAGGCATGAGTCACCATGCCCGGCCTGATACATTACATTTTTTAAAATGAGAGAGAGGAAAGGGAAATTTACCAAAATATTGACAATGGCTGCCTCTGAATAATAGGATTCATAATGTTTGGTTCTTTGTAAAGTTTCTACCATGGATTGCCTTTAGAAATAATAAACACACCCTACCTTCACACACACAAGTGATAGCAGGCTCCAGACCAAACACGGCAGAGGAGTTACATCTGGCTGGTGCTAGGATGGAAGAAGTGGTAGGTCACCACCTCCCAAATGCTGAGTACTAAAGCAAGGAGTAGGATTGGAGGAATCCCCAGGTGAGGCTGGAGTAGAGACCTATAGACTCAAAGGGCTTATGCAAGGTCCTTTAGGGAGAACCTTAATCTGCTGGGAAGACTTCACTCCCACCTCCTGCAGGGCCCAAGATGGCATTCAGGAAATGTGTGGCCAGTGACAGGAATCAACCATGGCACCGAAGCCTGCAGGAACCAGCAGGCTGGAGATGTGGCCACACAAGGAGACCCATCAGATGAGGATTCCCAGGGCACAGTATAATGTAGGATGCAAGCCTGGACTCTGCATACCTTCATCTTCCCCCATCATCTCTTCATAGGGTGTCTAAGACTATCTAGACTATGTCCAGACTGGTGATCCTAGGAGAGTCTGCAGTGTCAAGAGAGGGTAGGTCCATTTCAGGACTGACCTTCTTGTTGCCTCCTTCTCTCCCTAAAGCCAGGATGTCTGTGGCTGTCTCTGACTCCTTTCTGCCCCTTTCAGATCTCACTAGAGATCACTGCCCTGGGCAACACCAAACCAAATGAAGTGGCAAATAGAAAAAGAACCCTGGAGCAAATACCAAAGGGAGTAGCCACTCAATTTTATCATGACAAACTCCAGACAAGGCTCCAGGCCTTTCTCTGTCTGTCTATAAATATATGTGTTTGTTGTTCCATCAACCTTCCTAGAGCCACAGTGCAGAAGGATTGTCCTGGGATCCCTATTACATGTTCTCTTGAATTGGATAAGATGTCCACTCGAATATTCCAAAAGCCCCAGGGAGTCTAATTTGCCAGAGGGTTTGACAGTGAGGACTGCCTTTGCCAATGAGATTATGAGACAGATGTTTTCCATAAATAAATGAACGGGATGTGCAGGGCCAATAAACTAACAAAGCAGAGCCAGGGGTGGTGGCTCATGCCTGTAATCCCAGCACTTTGGGAGGCTGAGGCAAGAGGATTGCCTGAGCCCATGGGTTCGAGATCAGCCCGAGCAACTTGGCAAGACCTTGTCTCTACAATAAAAAAAAATCAAAAAAATTAGCCGGGCATGATGGTGCACACCTGTAGTTCAAGCTACTTGGAAGGCTGAGGCAGAAGGACTGCCTGAGCCCAGCAGATCAAGGCTGCAATGACCGCGAGCATGCCACTGCACTCCAGCCTGGCAACAGAGTGAGACTCTGACTCAAAAAAAAAAAGGCCAGACTCGGTGGCTCAGGTAATCCTGCGCCTTTGGGAGGCTGAGGTGAGTGGATTGCCTGAGCCCACGGGTTCGCGACCCGCTCTGGGCAGCGAGACGTCATCTCTACAATAAATCAAAAATCAGCCAGGCATAGTAGCCCATGCCTGTAATTCTGGCTACTCGGAAGATTGAGGCGGAAGGATCACCGGAGCCCAGCAGGTCGAGGCTGCGGTGGCCGGGAGCGGCCACTGCACTCCAGTCTGGGCGACAGTGAGACTCCAACTCAAAAAAAAAAAGAAAGAAAGAAAGAAGGAAAGAAAAAAATCCTAACAAAGCACATCTCAAGCCCATATACATTATAAGATATACCAGCAGTCATATCCTTTGAATGATTCACAGAGAATATTTTAGATATCTGCCTAAAAATGTGCTAGAGAGTGGTAATGGTTGCACATTCTCATAAATGTGAATATACTGAAAAACACTGAATTGGACACTTTAAATGGTGAATTATATGATATGTGCATTATATCCCAATAAAAACGTGCAAGAGGAGTACAGATAAAGTGATCAACCATTCTGGAGGCCTGGGATTGAGGGGTTTGTGGGACTCAGGACTTTCAAAATGAAAACCTGGAAATTCCTGGGAAATACAGGACAAGTTGTTCATCCTAGACACAGTTTTCAAAAACTAATCTTGGTAGTGTCCAAGCAAAAAAGCTTGAAGATATGAATAACTTTCACATTAACACAAGATCTGAAAACCCATTGGCAAGAGGAGTCCCTTTGGGAAAACTGCTCTTTGCCACCTTCCCAACCCCAACCCTCTCCCTAGGGCACAGGGATAAGAGGTGGACACAGTGTAACAGAGCCTGGCACTCACTAAGTTTCAGTTGGTACCAGTCCACACTCTCTGGGGCCCGTATTAGTGGTTGTCCACCTGGTGCTTGTGGACCACTTGGGCTCAGGATTTTTTTCACCTCACCTTGCTCCCCAGAGGCACAGATAAAGTCCCCCTTGATCCAATGAGGCAGAACTTTCACCCTCCTAAAAGTATTCTCAGGCCCCCACAACCCTCTATCCCTCTTCCACCAACCAAGTTTGTCTGACATCTGGCTTCCAGCGACCATACGGGCCATATTCTCCCTGAAAGTGATGCCAGGTGGGGTGCGGCACAAAACTGGTGGATTCTTTGACTCATCCTTAAAATGAATTTTAGAGCATCTGGCAAAGTTTTAAAGCAGAGTTCATTAGCAAGGAGAAAGGGAAAGGAAGATTCATGGCAGAAAGACCTACCATGGACACATTTCTCAAAAAGAAAAACCACCCTTTTCCTCCTAACTACAAGCTAGATATAGCTACCTAGTTATTGATGTGCTAACAAGAGTGGAGCACAGGTAACAGCTGCCCTCGCTGCTTCTGATGGGAGAAGGGGTGATCTTATGATTACTTCCATGATTTTAATCAGCTGAGGAGTGGAGTTGAGTTCTTTACCTTCAACTGGGAACATGAAGATTTTTTTTTTTTTTGAGTTGGAGTCTCTGTTGCCCAGGCTGGAGTGTAGTGCTGGGCTGAGGTGATTCTTCTTCCTCAGCCTTCCAAGTAGCTGGAACCACAGGCACGTGCCACCATGCTCAGCTAATTTTTTTGATTTATTGTAGAGATGAGGTCTCACCAAGTTGCCCAGGCTGTTCTCGAACCTGTGGGCTGAGGCCATCTTCTGACCTCAGCCTCCCAAAGTGCTGGGATTATAGGTATGAGCCACCATGCTTGGCATGAAGGATTTTTTAAGTGATTGTGAACTCAAAGGTTAGGTTGTCCTGATCTTACATAGGATCAGGGATTTTTCTTTTGATTGGCTGAGGGGGCAGGGTAGGCTGCCAGTTTGGTTTGCAGTAAAACGTAATTTTAAAAATATCTGAATGCTTCCTAAGACCTACCTGTGGGAAAAGTATCTATGTCTAAACTTTGCTAGCTACCCTGCCTCAAAATGAGACATGGATACTAGCCTAACAGGAAAGTCCATGTCTAAAAATTAATAAACAGGCCAGGTGTGGTGGCTCACACCTATAATCCCAGCACTTTAGGAGGTTGAAGCAGGAGGACTGCTTGAGGCCAGGAGTTCGAGACCCAGGTTAGGCAGCATAGCAAAACCTCATCTCTACCCAAAACAAAACAAAACAAAACTGGGGAGTGGTGACAAGTGCCTGTAGTCTCAGGTACTCAGGAAAGATCGCTTGAGCCCAGGAAGGAAGCCAAGGCTGTTGTGAGCTGTTAATGTGCCACTGTACTCCAGCCGAGTTCTCAAACAAACAAACAAATAACTAAATATTAATAAATATGAGCCGGGCTCGGTGGCTCAGCCCATAATTCCTCGCCTTTGGGAGGCTGAGGTGAGTGTATTGCCGGAGCCCGCGGGTTTGAGACCCGCCTGGGCAACTTGGCGAGACCTCATCTCTACAATAAATCAAAAAATCAGCCGGGGTGGTAGCGCATGCCTGTAATTCCGGCTACTCGGAAGGCTGAGGTAGAAGGATCGCAGGAGCCCAGCAGGTCGAGGCTGCGGTGGCCGGAAGCCGCCACTGCACTCCAGTCTGGGCGACAGAGTGAGACTCCAACTCAAAAGATAAATAAATAAATAAAAATAAATAAATATGGTTTAGGTTCCACACATCCCCAATCCCGACATAATAGAGTCGTTGGTTGGATCTGAGACTCCAAAAGGAGAGAAGTGGTGATGAGATTCTTATTTTTTCTTTGGAGTCGGAGTCTCACTCTGTCGCCCAGGCTGGAGTGCAGTGGCACGCTCATGGCCACCACAGCCTGAACTTTCGGGGCTCACGTGATCCTTCCACCTCAGCCTTCCAAGTAGCTGGAACTACAGGCACGTGCCATCATACCCGGCTAATTTATTGTAGAGATGAGGTCTCGCCAAGTTGCCCAGGCTGGTCGAACCCCTGGTCTCATGCAATCCTCTGCCACGGACTCCCAAAGTGCTAGGATTACAGGCTTGAGCCATCGCACCCGGCTTGGTGATGAGATTCTATCTGGCTGCTCTCTGCAGGCAGCGCTGGCAGGCAGTCACAGGAAAGTGGGACATGGACTATGTTGCTCTGGCACAGTGCCTGGCACACAGTAGGTGCTCATACACATTTGATAAATGCAGAACACTCTCTCGCCAGCATTGCTGTAGATAGCTGGCAACTCAGCCCGGCATCCCCGGGGCTCTGAATCGCTGGGCCTCGATGAGGCCAGCACACAGTAGGGTCGCAGGAAATGCAAGCGGCCCGGCTAGGGCCTGCAGCTGACAGTACCAGGAGTTCCCCTAACCACTGCTCTTTCCAGCCCTGGCATTTGTTGTATCGGCCCAGTCCGACAGCGGGTGCTGCTCCCGGGACACAGGAGGGCGGGGCTGAGACTGCCATGCACGCGGTGGGGAACTCCATTTCCCACAGGTCCATGCGTGCGACTCTATTTCCCGCAATTCCCTCCCCACTTCCGGCACTGCCGAAGCGCCGCCGAGGGCTTCCGGGTTTGGGCCTGGCGCTGCGGCTGAAGCGGCGGCGGCCGAGGGACTAGGGCAGCGGGAGCGCGGAACCGGCATGGACGTGTCAGGGCAGGAGACCGACTGGCGGAGCGCCGCATTCCGGCAGAAGCTGGTCAGTCAAATGTGAGTAGTAGTCCGGCGGCATCGCCGGATTTTCTTCACTTGCGCGGCGGGCGAGGCCGGGGCAGGACCCGCGGGAGATCGCCGTCGCCAGGACCCGAGGGGGACCGAGGGCGCCGGTAGACCGAAGGCACTGGGGACCCGCGTGGATCCCAGGGCGCGGACACTTCCGGCTTCCCTCGCTGATCCCGAAGTGAATACGGACTGCTTGTTAGCCATCCTGGGGCCGAGCTCTGCAAGCCAGGGAGCCCTGGCTTATGAGTCATCGTCCTGAGCTTTCTCATTCGTCATTTGTGTGCTTTGGGTGCAGACTTTCCCCCGCTTTGAACCACCCTGAATACGGAAAGGCAAAGAGACAGCCGTCTGTAGTGGGTTTAGCAGGGTGAGTGCTTCGTGGTTTCTCTTCCAGAAAAGCGCGTCAGGAAAGCGATTGGAGGAGAACGGATAGAAGATGAGATCGGGAGGGTAGGTGTTTGGACTGTGGGCGGTGGGAACGGAGAATCTCACGGTGACCTCCCGAAGGAATGTGAACTTTGCCAAAGAATGGCAGGAAGCGGTTGTCAGGAAGCGGGGATCGTCGGTTCTGCAGGGGTCAGTCCCCCCTCCCAACGGAACTCCAGCCCCTCACCACCGCCTGTTTGTTCATTTAGTTTAGTTTTTTTGTTTTTTTGTTTTTTGAGTTGGAGTCTCACTCGGTCGCCCAGACTGGAGTGCAGTGGCCGCTCCCGGCCACCGCAGCCTCGCCTGCTGGGCACCGGCGATCCTTCCGCCTCAGCCTTCCGAGTAGCCGGAATTACAGGCATGCGCTACCACGCCTGGTTGATTTTTTGATTTATTGTAGAGATGAGGTCTTGCTGCCCAGGCGGGTCTCGAACCCGTGGGCTCAGGCAATCCACTCACCTCAGCCTCCCAAAGGTGCGGGATTACAGGCTGAGCCACCGAGCCCGGCCCATTTAGTTTTTGAATGAGCTTACTGGCGGGTTGTGCTCGCACAGATTTGCTTGAGACACAGCCCCTTTCTTGAGGGATGGCACTGCCGGTAAAGGAAGAGTCACTGAATCTGCCAGTTCTCCATAATGTTTTGTACACTGCAGAGGCTTCCTGCGAAGTGGCAGTTAACTTGAGCAGGCCAGGAGCAGCCTTGGGGAATAGGTGACCGATAAATTGAATCCTAGAAAGACAGGTAGGAGTGTGAGTCGCCACTGTTCCAAGCTGGGGAGTCAGGGAGCATGAGCAAACTGACTACATGGAAGACCTTGTAGGTCGGGAGTTCCGGGGCTTGAAGAATAAGGAAGTTCAGGAGATAATGGAATGAGAGTGAGCAGGTGCTGGCACGTTAGTGGTGGGGGTGTTGTGCTAAGGAGTGGAGCCTGTATTTGGCATGTGGCATTCTTTGAGGCAGTAAAATGCCAGAGTGAGACTATCCCAAGGGTCCCTGGAGGTGGATCAAGGATAGAGAGGCCAATTAGGCCATTAAGAGAATTTTGAGCACTTACATGATGGAGGCCTGTCTTTTTTCCACCCTTGTATTCCCACTGCTAGCTCACTGCCTGTCACATTGTTCCATAAAGTGGTTGTGGATTGACCTAGTCAGGTGGGAGATTAAAGGCCTTCATTAGACAGTGGTAGAAACTGAAAGAGGAAGGCAGATTCCAGAGGAAGGGCAGTGTAGACAATTCTTGATGACTAACTGGATGGAGGGTGGAGTGAAGCTTTGTGGGAAGGAAGGAAGCCAGGCTGAATGCTGGGAAACCTCTTAGTACTGTAGAAAGAGTGGAGACTAGAGTTAGTGACTCAGGGCTCTAAGCAGAATAGCCTTGGGACATTTCTGTGGATATGCAGAATCAGTGAACAGTGTTTTCCGGATGCACTGGAGTTGTGTATAGGTGAAATCTTGAGAGATAGCCCTGCAAGAAATGGCTCCTGCAAGAAAAGCCCCCCAGGGACATGGATTTCTGTTTGGGAAAAATCCAGAATTTAAGAACTGGAAGAATGAGTTGTCATCAAAGGAAATGGGGGTGGGGAAGTGTCAGAGGGCTGGGAAGGCAACTGAAGAGTTTCTGGATGTTGAGAGTGGGTGCTTCATAGTTTAACTTTCTTTTGCTTCCTGCAGAACTGAGTTGTTTCTTTTTTCTGTTCTGCCAGATTGCTGCTTATGTATTATTTTTCTAATGCTGCAGTAACAAAGTAAGCATCTTAAAACAACACAATCTGGTAGTTTTTAAGATCCAGGTAGACTCATCTGCTTAGGGTTTTACAAGGAAATCAGGATGTTGGCTGGGTGCATTACTTACTGGAGGCTCTGTGGTGGAATCAACTTCCAAACCCATTCATGGTGTTGGCTAAATTCAGTTCTTTGCACTTCTAGGACTGAGGTGCTCTCTTTCCTTTCTGGCTGTTAACCAGAAGACAATCTTTGTTCCTAGAAGCTGCTGATATTCCTTTTCATGATTTCTGTGTGGCCCCTCTAGTGAGTGCCAGTTCTTCTGCCACATCTCTCTGACTTCAGCTAAAGAAAATTCTCTGCTTTTTAGAGCTCAGGTTAAATTTGGCCTACTCAGATAATCCAGGATAATCTCTTTATTTTAAAGTCTGTAACCTTAATTACATCTGTAAAATTCCTTTTGTAGTACAATGTAGCATATTCGCAGGTTCCAGGGATTAGGGCATGGATATTTTAGGAGTGAGGGGTATTCTATCACAACTGGGTGGAGCAGTTTCAGAAGTTGCCTTCCTGAGGTGATTGTGGGTGTTCTCAGTTTTCTCAGTTCTAAGATGTGTTCATTTTCTCTCCAGGGTTCACTTTGAAAGTCATGATTTTTGGTGCCTTAATTTATTGTGTTCATAGGGTTGAAAAAGAAGGTTTGCATTAGGATTCTCGACATAATCCTTAATTCCAACTTCCTCCTATGTTTATGCTGTTGTTTAAAGTTGGTCATTTTGGGAAATGCTTTGAACGCAAGTAACTTATAGTTGGTGAGGAAATAAAGGCAGCATAGTGAAGAACTGTTACATTTAGATGGAGGATAAAGCATCTGTTAGTGCTCTGTTTCTGCCTAGCTCTTGAGTATTTTGACCAAAAGCCTAGGGAACAGTGCCCCAGAGCATGGGCTAATCTAGTCTCCTGGTTCCTGCTGAGAAAATGTGATTTTGAGTTGAAGCTGGTTAGGAGAAACATGACAAGACAGACCTTGCAGGGACTCTGTAGCCTCTTCTTAGCCTTCCACTGCCTCTATCTTGTTGGGGCCCATCCTGGGCTGCGGGCTTCCCCTCTCTCTCCTTCTAGTCCCGTCCTTTCTCCTCCAGTAGTGCAAGTAAGGGTGAGGCCTGATGTGCAGCCTAAAGATCACAGTCCTATTGCCCTGCTGCACCCCAATCAGCACCTTCCCTTAGCATTAGAGTAAAACTCCAGATCACGTACCCTACTAGCCCCTCACCCTGACCTGGCTTAGCCACCTCTCCTCCTTCCCCCACCCTGTTCCAGCCTCTCTGGTTTTTCAGCTTCTTGAACATCCCAAGCTCTTTCTTTTTAACCAGTTTATTATCAAGTATTCAAAAATGGGTAGGCCCTCCCTCATATTTATGATCAACTCCTTCTCTTCTTTTTTTAAAATTTTAATTTATTTTTTGAGTCAGAGTCTCACTGTCTTCCAGGCTGGAGTATAGTGGCACACTCACGGCCACTGCAGCCTTGACCTGCTGGGCTCAGGGGATCATTCCACCTTAATCTTCCAAGTAGCTGGAACCAGAGGTACGCGCCAGCACGCCCAGCTAATTTTTTGGTGTATTATAGAGACGAGGTCTTGCCAAGTTGCCCAGGCTTGTTTCAAACCCCTTGACTCAGGCAGTCCTCTCACCTCTGCCTCCCAAAGTGCTGGGGTTGCAGGCATGAGTTGCCATGCCCAGCTCAGCTCCTTCTCTACTTTTTTTTTTTGAGTTGGAGTCTCACTCCGTCGCCCAGACTGGAGTGCAGTGGCCGCTCCCGGCCATCGCAGCCTTGACCTGCTGGGCTCCGGCGATCCTTCCGCCTCAGCCTTCCAAGTAGCCAGAATTATAGGCATGCGCTACCACGCCCGGCTGATTTTTTTTGATTTATTGTAGAGATGAGATCTTGCCTGCCCAGGCGGGTCTCGAACCCGCTCCTTCTCTACTTTTAAGAGGTGTCTGTTCAGTATCAAATACTCAGAGAATCCCTCCCTGCCTACTGCCTAAAGTGGATCACCCTATCTAATATGTTTTATCTCAGCCCTTTTTAGCTTCCTGTAGGACTCCAGTCCTGTGAAGCATGGCACTGGGCATATAAAATACTTATTGAAGAGTGCAGGAGTAGTATTTTCCTGGGACTGTGTGAGCCACCTGTCTTACTATAGTTGTGTTCTTAGTGTGAGCCAGTACGTATTGTGATGCTCTGGAACCCCTGCTTTTTTCATGTTAGCCAAGTTGACCTTTCTGAATCATATTCCTTATCAATGGTAGGAGGCCAATATGTCTCATAGGAATGATGGGAGTGAAAATGAAGAGACCTCTGTGTAAGCCCTTGCAGATGTTTTAGAACTCAGTGATGAGCTCCCTGATGCCTCCTTCTGTGTCCTTGTGGGAGTAGGAGATTCTGTAGCCTTGGATAGTGAAGGTGATAACTCTAAGCCTGGTTAAGGGAATTGATGGCACTCGAAGGAGCTTATGGAGAGGGTAGTTAGGAAACTGTTGGTAGGTTTATGTCAGCTCTTTATTGAACACCCACTCTCCCTGAAGAGACTGCAGAAGAAGCTGCCCTTAGAACTTTTGAGCTGGCCTTTGGTGGGGTTTGAGACTTCTTGCGGGATTATTGGATTAATGCTGAGCATGTCTCTGAGGCTTCTAGAGAACAAGCATGCATCTGTAGTGACTAGAACTGCACCTGACAGAATGGATTTGCAGAAGATATTTAAGCTCTGAATTAAAAGACTTCATCAATCATTTTCTCCCAGTTCTTTTTTTCCTGTCATCTTATTCTGGAGACTTTT